CCCCGAGAAGCCCCCCCCCCCCCCCCCAAGCAAAGTACACTGAGAATTGTAATTAAAAGCTATTATAATTACAATCTGTATAAGGCTTGTCATAAGAATATTTTTCTAAATTGAATAGTTACTTTTTTTTGTTGGTTGTTAGGGCAACAGGGCCCCCTGGTGGAGGTCAAATGTGTATAAAGCGTGCACAGAGCACAGAGCAATCCCTTTTTCTTTTTTTACAACACATTTGGTTACTGATGTAGACCTAAACTTTTTTTTTTTTTTTTATTGCTGCCTGGGCTCCATTTCCCTTCACTTCCCGTCCCCCTGATCACTGTCCCTGCGAGGGGACCTGAGGAGTTCCTCTCCAACAGGAACAAAAATGGCAGACATTCTAAGACCCCCCATAAGAGCCCATTCACACCAGGGCGGTTGCGGATCAGTGCGTTTACCACGCGGATTACAAAAAAAGGGAGGTTTTGGGAGTTTTTAATTGCGTTTCAGCGCTGAAACGCAATTAAAAAAGCCCTAAACAGTGCGGATTAGCGCAGTTCCATTGAAAGCTGTATGGAAACTGCACTGATCAGCGCGGCAAAAATAGTGCAGGGAGCACATCAGGCGTTGGCGGTTCGGATCTCGCGGTCGCATGAATGGTCCCCATAGCAATGTATGGGATTGTTAATGCCGGCGGATCCGTGCCGCCGAACTACCCCGGTGTGAACGGGGCCTTACACTGGCAGTCCGATCAGATCCACCTGTCATTATTCCAGGCATTTCTGATTGGAAGTCCAATGAAGCTATGGGCAGCCGGATCTAAACGGATGTATGTCCATTTACATACGATAAACACCCGACTCCTGCTGATCGGAATGGATGGCACCCATGTGAAAGGGGCCTAAGCAACTCCCCATAGACCTACATATGTGCACGGGTCCCCTGCTGATCGGAATGGATGGCACCCATGTGAAAGGGGCCCAACCAACTCCCCATAGACCTAGATCTGTGCACGGGTCCCCTGCTGATTGGCACCCATGTGAAGAGGGCCTAACAGACTCCCCATAGACCTAGATCTGTGCACGGATTCCCTTTGATCAAAATGGACAGCACCTGTGTGAAAGGGGCCTAAAAGTTAGTGGGCCTAAAACGTATCTAAATCCAAAACCTTTATTTAGGGTACAGTGGTGATCAGCAAGTCATGTCCCATTGCTATCTGTGGCCCCAGTAAGGAGACTTGCATTCTGTGTGTCCTGGTTACCATGGTCTACGGAACTGAAAGTGAGAGGAAAGACCAGGAAAGCAAATCTTCCAATGGGAACACTTGGTCCTGGTGACAACTGTTTAAGAGGGAATATCATCTTGCTTTCTTTTGTGTTAAGGGACAATAACTGATTGTAATTCTCCCATATGGGATACAGAAGGCCATATTAGGGTGAAATCTCCCCAGCATGGGAAAGGTGATAATAGGGAGAGCCCTAACACTGGATCTTGGGAAGGCAAAACAGATTATGGGAAAAAGGAGAATCATGAAGGCGATCTCTTGGAAGGAAAAAAGGGATTATGTGAACCAGAAGGCATTCAGCAGCAGAACTGTCTTTTTTGTTTTCTCCCCCCGTTTTTTCACTAATAGGTGAAGGTGGTTAACCTCTGGCCAAAGCATGGTTACTCACACGCAGCAAGTACTTACCAAAATCTCCCCCTTAGTTTGGGATAAGGAGCCGTGTGATTAGGAGGATGCGGGAGTATACAGTACAGGAACGAGGGCGAATTTTATGATAACAGAGTTATGGAGAGAGAATGAAGAATGTGGAGAGTAAACATAGAATGGAATAGCAGCAAAAAAAGAAGAAAGAGGGAAAAAAATTACATGCAATTAATACACAGTTAATATTTAAATTCCCATCACACCAACAAATTATAAAAAAAAGTCAGTAATAAAAAAATTAATATCAGTACATGCTAATTTTGAATATTAAAAATGCACGAGCATGCTTGTGCAAAGAACACAGCACAGTTTGGTGAGTTCGTCAGAAGACGTGTGTGAGAAAGTACAGGACAGAGCATGACAGACACGGTGCATTGTGGTGGTGGGTGGGGGGGTTCCAGAATCTTGATATCCTGTGACCTCTTGTGCAAGACAAAGTGGCTTCCCGGAAGACTTCCACAGACCTGAGAAATGTGCAATTCCACACGAAGGGCTGAAATCAACTTGTTATGGGACAGGCATGGGATAATAAAGTGCCCTCAGACTTAGCCGAAGGCCTTATTTATTAAAGTGTCTGAAGGAAGATGTGTTCTTTTCTCCCATAGTGACCATACTGCCCCTCCACAATATGGGAGTAGCAAGGGGGGGACGGTTTCAAAAGACAAAAGGACAGTTCTTTATTCAGACACTGATAAATAAGGTCTGAGGAATGGTGCAGTGATCCAAGTTGAAGCACTGAGGTGGAATCACCTGTGCCATTATACTTCATATAGGACAAGAAGCTTGGCTGTGCTAGTGGCAGGTGGCCCTCCATGATGTGCAGATTACCTGGTTGGGGACAGTCCTCTTCTTGTTGAGCTGCGTGCTTCTTTGTTGGGCACTAGAAAAAGTAAAGCTAACGTTACTAAACTGTGATGTACAATGGCTTATAATCGGCAGTCTAGTTTTGTTAAATGGAAGGAAAAATAAAAAGGCCCTTTCCATTTCAAATATAGGCATGCACTCATTTGAATGATCTTCTCTGCAGTTCCTTACCTACTACTGACCTGGGAATAATGAAATGGATCATGCCAAAGAACTTGGTAAAAATCATTCAAAATGAGTAGTAGGTGGAAGGGTCATCATTTATGCCAAATTACATGGGCCCCAATGTTAAGGAAGCACTGCACACCTGGTGGTGTCCTTTTAATTCTAGTATCTTGATGAAGAAATACCCAAAACACTTACATTGTCTATTCCCCTAATCTAAACATTTCACCCATCTCCCAACATTGATATCTAACAAAGAAATTAAACCCAAAACTGAGCAGGACTCGGCCAAAATCAGAGCCGTGTATGGCCAACGTACTCTTAAATCAAAGCTTAACTAGCTTTACCCTTAAAGCCCAATTGAGGTCTCTGCTTATCCCTTTGTAGCCCTTTGATGATCTGCTTATCCCTTTGGAATCCTGTACACCTACATTTTAGGATTTGCGATTGGTTTTTGCTTGGAAATGCCTTGAACCAACGTAATTTCTCAATTAAGAATGCCATTTCCAGCCCAGTCCGGCACTCTTTACAGGCAGAGCTGAGTAATAGCCACACACCTGACCACAAATGACCTCACACAGACTTACATTGCAGAGAAGGAGATTGGGTGTGTTTGATCAAGCCCATTACTGAGAGATGATTACTAAAAGCACTAGGTCTGCCTATTGGCATGCTCAGCCATATTTAAGCCATGCATAACTGCTGTAACAAGAAAGTGATAAGACTATGAATATGTAGGTTCTTAGTACAATGTCTGTCTGCATATATATATATGTATGTATGTATGTATGTATGTATGTATGTATGTATGTATTTCTGTGACTTAAATTGGGCTTTAACCTAGGTAACCCTGAACTACTGGGACAAACCTTACCTTGGGCTTTAACCTAGGTAACCCTGAACTACTGGGACAAAATTTACCTTGGGCTTTAACCTAGGTAACCCTGAACTACTGGGACAAACCTTACCTTGGGCTTTAACCTAGGTAACCCTGAACTACTGGGACAAACTTTACCTTGGCCTTTAACCTAGGTATCCCTGAACTACTAGGACACACCTTACCTTGGGCTTTAACCTAGGTAACCCTGAACTACTGGGACAAACCTTACCTTGGGCTTTAACCTACGTAACCCTGAACTACTGTGACAAACCTTACCTTGGGCTTTAACCTAGGTAACCCTGAACTACTGGGCCAAAATCTACCTTGGGCTTTAACCTAGTTAACCCTGAACTACTGTGACAAACCTTACCTTGGGCTTTAACCTAGGTAACCCTGAACTACTGGGCCAAAATCTACCTTGGGTTTTAACCTAGGTAACCCTGAACTACTGGGCCAAAATGTACTTATATGTTGATCCATACTGTGGAGTACTGACCAATAACAGATATGCAAATAAGCGGATATGAGTGATGCATGCTTGGCCTGCAGCAACGACTTAAATATATGATACTGTTTGCTATGATTTCCTGTACTTTGCACAGTTCCATGTAACAAGCTCAATCGATTATGCATATTTTAGTAACAAGCAGTTTGAACATGACACTTGATTAGCTTTCCTTCACCATCTGCAAAGGGTGTAAAATGGATGAAGCTGCGCGATATTTATTATAGGTTTACATTGTACTGAACTAGCTATGCAAATCAAAAAGGAGTCAGTCAGACATTACAGAGGTGCACACACAAGCAGGAGACGTGCAGAATACCCACCCTGGGATGACCTGCTCGGTAAAACAGCTGGCATGTGAAAGAATGAGGGAGCGAGCGACGGTCGTGTAGAATGCAGAGAGAAAGAGTGCGGGTCATAAATGAGAGTGCGGAGAAAAACACAGGAGAGAAGTTACCGACCGAGAGAGAGCGAAAGGGACAAACAACAGCAAACTGCGGAGAACACTAGACAACCTGTGACGAGACCAAATGAGCTGAAGCAAGGATGAAGTCACAGAATGGAGAGCGGACACAACAACATGGCTGAATATATGTTCACAACGATTACACTAAACAGGAAAAAAAAGCCATGACAGCACTAAACACAAAACTATCCTACCAGGTTAGTTTCTGCAAGACATTAAATCCACTTTATGGTAAAAAATTCCAATAGCGGATGTTTACGGCAGGAGAAAAATACAACCATAAATTAGGTTAAACAGATACTTCTTATATTATTTTAGACCCCCTGCTAAGTATAACAAAGCTGATAAGAGCCTGGATAATAGCCAACTCCATGCAGTCACCGTGTTCCCAGAAGAGGGCTATAATCTCGGGAGGACAGGGCTCCATATCAGGTGGTGGGAGACTTACTTAGCAAATCCAATGAAATCCTCGTGATTGGTGTTGATGTAAGACAGTTCAATGTCTATTAGTAGCAGTACCTGTGGACAGAAAAGACAGACATGAGAAAGAACATAGACCCATGGTGCTAGTAATCTGCACTGAATCCTGTCTGGGTCATTAGTCATATGAACTCAAAAGTACAGGTCAATGGTCACTTACCCAGGACACCTGGAGTAACAAGTACAGGTCATTAGACAGTACCCAGGTCAATGGACTAAAAAATAAAAAAAAAGGTCAGTGGTCAATAGCCAGGTCGCATTGACTCATGTGTACAGGTCAGTGATCACTACTTAGGTCACACTGACTCATAACAAAAGGCCAGTGATCAATGCCCAGGTCACATGGACTCACACGTACAGGTCAGTGGTCACATGGATTCACATGTACAAGTCAGTGATGACTACCCAGGTCACATCAACTCTCGTGTACAGACCAGTGATGACAGGTCACATGGACTCACAAGTACAGGCCAGTGGTCACTAGTCAGTTCACATGGACTTACAAGTATTTGTCGAAGGACAGAGAGCTAGTGCACAAATCACAATGGCCATGTAATGTCAAGTACCAGTGCTCGGTCGCGAAGCAGAGGTCAGTAGAAATACCACAAAAAAAAAATAAATCAGGTCTCCTGTTGTGTGACAGAGCTGTGTATATTTGGATGGACAGAATACTAATTCTTTGGGCAGCCCCCATAAATGTACCTAATCTGTATATTTATCGGTTTGGCCTGAGATGAACTTTAAGCAATATGTAAAGTCAGCTTGGTAACGGTGCTTCATGCCACTGGATATAGGGTTCACAAGCATCCTTCCAGGATATAGTAAAGCTTTCCGAGGGGCACAAGAGTCTGTACTGGGCAATAAATGCAACCTAGAAGCTGGAAGTCGCAAGAGAGGTGCATTCCGAAACGTTTTGCTCCCCAGCTGGCTCTACAGTCTCCCTACAGGATGCCTGGGGACCCGGTGTCCTACATCTGTAATGACATGTGACCCTGAGCAGTCCCAGCTCCTAAAACATTGATTATAATGTATACCAGTCTAGCAATCAGACATTTGAAGGGATTTTCTGCCATAATGTCTTACTTGATCTTTTGTCTTGCCTTCTCTCTCTCGGATGTATGTTGTGACAATCCTTTCGGTCTCTTCTCGAAGTCTTGGGTAAGAAGCCAGCTACAAGTGGGAACACAATCTCAGAGTTACAGTGGCCATTAGAAATTTATAAACATTTCTTCAACATCCACTTAGCAATCCCAGCCCGTCTTGAAGTTCCAGCATGCATGAAACAATGGAAAGCTGGTATTATGAGTAAACCAGGCATAGAAATAATGGACAGACACAAAGCTTAAAGTGAACCTGGACCACACCTGGAAGATTCATACCGAGCATATGGGGGGGGGGCGGACAACGACACAAACATTACCTTCACTAAAAAACCGCACATCAAAGCTATTGGAAGTTCTAGAGATATTGGCAACTGAAGTTTTTTTCCAGTAAGAGTTGTTTGTCCCCACGCCCTCCCGCCTTTACTGCAGCCAAATCACCAATAGATAGAATCCGGAAGCTGGAGGGGTAAGGTGAAGCTGGACAGGAAAAGCCAGATGTCCAGATGTATCTACTGACCGTTCTCACGCCCAGTGCTTACAGAAGAAACCTCTATTTATGCATTTTTTATAACATACTCCACTTGAACTGTCCAGCTTTGTGGCATGTATACTTTAAAAGGCCATCGCTGCTCGTGACGTTGTCCTTTAAATGTCCCCTCCACCTCCTGAGTAGCAGACACCTACTTGGAACACCATCTCTGGAGATCTTCATTGAGCAGCCATGTACAGCCTTGGAACAAAGTCCTGGTCATGTCCTGCTGCTTGGCCTATTCATTCCTATGGTTGGGTCTTTGCTCCTCTGGATGAAAGACTACGGGACAGCAATAGGAATGAACATGACAAACAGCAGACCTGTCATAGGAGCTGGACAATGCCAAGACTTTTCAGCAAAAGCTATGCAGTGGCGACCAGGGCTGCACATACAAGGTCTTTGGAATGTGGCTAAAGATAAGTATTCTAGTAGATGTCTGCCAATCAGAGGGGTGAGGAATTTTTTTAACTCGCAAATGGGTTAAAAAATAAAATAAAAAATTTAAAACCATTTGCACCTCTAAATTTCTTTTTAGAATATTAACTTCGGCCTCTGGCTTTCAAAATTTCTAGGCGGAGTGGGTGACCTCAACATGCCACCCGGAAGAGATGGAGATGCCGTGCAAATGCACTCCCAACTCATTGTAGGCGCAATTGTGGAAATGAACAGACTCAAACAACAACATTCATTTACCACCGATGCTGTATGGCAGGTTTGTTTTGGATTCTAACCATTATTCAAGGAAGCCATAGACGGGCCAAATATGTCCTCCTGATCTGGTCATGGAAGGTAAAAACTGCACTTTGTTTTCTTCAGTTATGGGGATTGGGAGTATGTTTGATTATCTCCCGCTACCATGCAGGCTATAATGCATCTGTAAGTAGGTTAGTAGGTGAGAGTTTGGTTTTACTTTAAAGTGGAATCCTGAAATGCTGAACAACATTAGAGGTATTAAACTCTACATGTACATTCCGATATACAGCAACATACTTCTGAAGTTACACTGTGGGTTGTCTGCCTTCTGTTTGCTGCCTCACTTTTAATATACAGTGGTACCTTGGTTCACAAACTTAATTCGTTCCACGATTCTTGTCACGAACCGAAACTGTGATCAGACCACAATCTCGACTAGAGGAAGCCACGACCATGTGTCAGAGCTGGGAAGATGGTTGCGGTTGTGTTCGTCACCCGATGCGGAAGCGTTTGTAAACTGAAGTACCACTGTACTTTTAAAATATATATCTCTCCTTTGCTTCTCTTTCAAGGGTGGATTCCCAGCCTTCCAAGTTCCCCTGGAGACACCCTTACGAGCATGCTTACACCCAGGACTACTGCCTGGCATGCCAATGCTCCATGAGCCTACAGGCACAGGCAGCTCAGAAGCCCAGGAATGGAAGCCACTCCCTAACTCCTCCTCCTCCAGCAAAGTGATTGGCAGCAGCTTCTGAGACAGCGCTGGCCGCTGCCCGAAGAAATCAGATGTATTATATACAGCAGCATTGCAGAGACAGTAAAAACAGACCTATCCCATTAATTGTTGGTCTTAATGCGTTTGTGACCCTTCTGTGGCGGCTACTGTACACGCCTCCTGACCAGAAGTTCTACGAGGTGAGAGGGAACAAGCTGCTTTTACAATAGAAAAGAGTAAGGAATTTGGACTAATTTTAATTATTATTAAAAAAAAACAAAAAAACCCCTTACTTTGCAGGTTTACATGGTGCATAAGAATAAAAGGTGAAAAAGCTTCTGAAACATGGTCCGCGTCAGTCAGTTTAAAGTAGATTATGACTTAACTAGTAAATTGTCTTTGCAGAAAAAGGAATGTTTTCCTCCTACTAGTAGCATTATCTAATTATTGCCCACAGGTGGCAATGAAGGAACATTATATACACAAAGCACCAAGCAATCATCTGTAGCCTGTAATGAAATTCCGGCTCAATAGTCTCAATAAAACATACTTTCTGGTTAGACGTGCAAGATACGAGGAGAGCATTCAGTAAAACATGGTTTGCATGCACAACGACAAATTTAAAATACGGTAAGCAGACTGGTGTAGGAAAAAAAAAAAAAAAGCTTCAGATGGTTGGACAGAAGATGGAGCAGATGTTAGGACAACTTCTATGATGGCAGATATATGTATCAAGACAGAACCATCAATATTCTAGTGTAGGGCATATTATACTGCCAGACCTTATTTATGAAAGTATCTCAAATAAGAAATTACTGTTTTCATATTGGAGGCTTAATTCTAATAAGTGGCTGTGAGAAAGAAAGAGTTCCACCTGGAGACAATTGAGAAATAAGACATCATACAAGTACAGTCATGTGGAAAAAAGTAAGTACACCCCATGGAAATTATTGATGTTTTCATCATAATTGAAAAAGGAAACTTCCCACCTTCATTCAAGCGATGCCTACAGGTAAAGGAGATATACTTACACAAATGACAAAAAGTAACTTGGTGTATTAATTCTGATCATCTAAAGAACAGAAAGGAAAATCTGACACATAGAACTAGTAAACATGCAGGTGGAACTTGTCCTATTTAAACCTCAGATATCTCAGGGTCTGGTCTTTTCTTTGCTATTGACATGTGTGGTGTCATCCAGCCAAAAGCAAGAGCTTTCCAAGGCCCTCAGAAAGAAGGTTGTGGATGCCTATGAGTCTGGCAGTGCATCATGTGTGAAGTGAATAGAGGCTGCACAACTGAACCCAAAAAAAGTAAGTCAGCGATCCATTTCCAACCCAAAATCATGGAGATACAATCTCCAGATATTGCTAGTGGAAAAATACAGCAAATGGAACTCTAGCCTTGGGGCATCCATGGCAAGATGTGTTACAGAGGTCTCCTGCCACCACCTCCCCAACATGTAGATTCAATCCCCTTGCTGCATCCACACAAAAAATAAGAAATGAGAGGAAAATAGAAGAGGCCATCTTCTATTAAAGCAGGGCTCTCGAAACCTCTGGCCCTCCAGCTGTGGTGGAACTACAAATCCCATGAGGCATTACAAGAGTCTCACAGCCACAGACATGACTCCCGAAGAGAGATGCATCATGGGATTTGTAGTTTCACCACAGCTGGAGGGCCAGAGGTGTGAGACCCCTGTATTAAAGGCTGTAACAGCTGGCAGGTGTAACAGAAATATCAATTTTGGGTTTCCTGACCATTTAACATTAGCCTTATTTCTAAATACTCTTGCTATATAGGTGCAACGACGGCTCCACAGACAAAAAATAGTTGCTCTGCAGTGTAGGTACCAGGAAATACTTTAGCACAAACGCAGAGCCTTCAAGTGACAGGCCGTCAAATTTTACAACCAAGGGTTGCATGTAGAGAAATAGGACTGTATATTGTACACCATGGGCAAAAGGATATAGACAACCCTCCAAAATGAGTTCAGGTGCTTCCAGTGAAGGATATTGTTAATACTCCAGCATACAAAGACCAATGGTATGCTTCGAACCTTGTTGCAACAGTTTGGGGAAGAGCCCTTTTGTTCCACCACTGTGCACAAAGCTAGCTCTATAAAGACATGGTTTGAGGAGTTTGGCGTGGAGGAACTTGAGTGGCCTGTACAGAGCCCTGGCCTCAATCCTACAAAACACAATTCAGATGAACTGGAACGATGATCGAAAACCAGGTCTTCTCATCCATTGGCAGCACATAAAATGGTATTTTGGCTGTTCTAAAATGCAAAAGTTGGAGGGTTGGAGGCCAACTTCATAATGGTTCTGGAAATGGATGTGAAACAAGTCTAAATAGGTGTGAGTCATGTGTTCAAACACCTTCCACCATATAGTTAGTTATACTTTGTTTCACCCAACCACAGGCCATAACCCAGCCATTATTTTCTCCAACATTCTTAGCAAAGGAGAAAACACAATTACTGTTTGCAGTCCCAACCACAGAATTTGTATTCAAATATATAATCACAAAGCACACAGATGTCTTGATACATATATCCTGGTTTACTATATACCAACACACACACGGAGACAAATTGCTGGACCTTTACCCTTCTGTCTGAAGCGGTGTACTCTGACCCAGTAATGTTATAGGCAAGGAAAGAGTTAAGCAGAGGAAAAAAAACAAAAAAAACAAGAAAACAAAACAAATGACAGACCATAAGATGAGAGGAAACTGTTAGTATGCGACAGAGAGAAAGAGAAAAGGACACAAAGAAAACAAATCATGCATACAGTCTGGTGCACACATAGATAAGGAGGTTCACCAAAATGTCTCTTGCTGATAAGGATTATAATTCGTGGAACACTTCTCGTCTCTACCAACTAAAGAATTCACCATACAACGTTCATTTGTAATTTGATATATTTATGAAAACACTCTAAAAAGGTTAGCTCTGATAATTTTTTTGGTCAATTCTATTTAAAACAATAGATTTAAAGTTTCATAAAGGAAACGAAGCTTAATTTTGTCATTATTTGTAAAAATAGGATTTCTGTACTCCCCGTAAAATCCTTTCCTTGGAGTCCATTAAGGGACACGGTAATTCTTAGACTGTTGGTTATAC